TATTTTGTATTTTGTATTTCAAATCGAAAGATTGAAAGTATTTTATATTTTGTAATTCAAATACTAAGATTCCTAGTATTTTGTATTTTGTATTTTAAATACTTTAATGGTGTATTTTGCCCAGCCCTGTCTATATAAACGATAAACAGCCAATTTGGAAATAAATTTGTAACTCAAAAAAGACATTCGTCTCCCCGAAGAAAGAAGCATCCAATTAATCCCATTTTCCCCCCTCTTTCAAGAACGGTTCACAACGTAATGATGCGAAACGCTTATTGACAATTTACAATAATCTACAAATCGCCATGGACTCGCTTAAAATTAAAAACAGGACTGGAATAGAATAATTTCACCAGTATGGAAGAGACAGAACGTAAAACAACGTGGTTTGTGAAAACAAAATATATATATTTCGGACATAAAGAAATGATAGACGATAATAATAATGTGTAACAAAATTGTGATCATTATAGAAAGAGAACTTAAACAACGCCTTGGTCGCGCGCTAAAGCACAAAACACAGCATCAGCCATAATGGAAACAATACGATACTTAATATATCGGCGGACGCGCGAAGCTATATTACTGTGCGCTCGATATTAACACATCGGTATACACGGGCAACTTTTGTACTTTCTTAACAACAAAAATTATAGTCAAGCGGGAAAAAAAAAAAGGACGAACGATATGCAGCAGAGCTAGAGAAAAAGAAAATAATAAGAGAAGAATAGCGAATATCTTTTAAGTGAAGTCAAGTCCAGCCAGCCAACGCATCCAAACTCAAAAAAAGTTTCGGCCAACGGGATATTTTGTCTGTCTTTTTTTCTCTCTTTCTGCGCGCGACAACCGCGGGGGCGTGTCTCTCTCGGGGGGGGGGGGTGTGTGTATTAAGGTGTTTATATATCGCAAACGCCGCGTGTCTCGCGTATACACAATAGAAACCACGCGTATATAACTACTCTCTCGTCACCAGAGATCTCACACACGAGATCTTCTATCGCAAAACACCCGCGCGTTCTGCGATCGCATGTACAGCGAG